AATCACAAGCTGCTTCAGGATCAGCTACGCCTCTGGTATCCCTAATGCCTCTAAAATTTCCTATGTCCAGTCGTTACACCAATTACCATCCAATCGCGATACATACTACTAATTTACATAACTCACAAACGTGTTTAAATGAAGTAGATGATTGCAGTGCAAATCAAATGCATTGTAGAGCTATAGTTTATCATCCTGTTTACATTCCTCATACACATCCACCACAATTTCACAATACTTCTGGTGGTGCCAGTCTTTTACCAACACCTCCATCAATTTCACAATTTGAGTCAAGTACTAAAACACATCTCAATTCCAGAGATTATACCAAATCAAGTATAACAATAACTCAAAGCAATTATGTTAAATCTCAAAATCATATAGCGGTAATCAATCCAAACACTTTTAGTAAAACTCAAAGTGTAGGAAATTCATTGCCACATAAGTATACTAATGTAGATGGAACTCATAAGTATGCAACCATTGCTATGACATCTTCTCGATTACCAGTTCAATATAGCAAACGAACTGCTGTTTCCAATGTGGGCTCTCCGGCTTGTTTTTTGACACAAAAATCTGGAAATTACACTTCGAGTCAAAATTTAAGCAAGCCTGGTAATTTTGGATCCAATATTAATTTTAATAATCAAACATACAATCCATCTAATAATAGTTCACAGAAGATTGGAAATATGAATATAAATCAAAACTTCGACTACGCGAATGGACGTAAAAATACGAACTATAATACAGATCAATATTTTGACAACACGATCGGATATAAATCAACGAACTATACCTCAGGTAGGAGGAATGCATCGAATAATTATAGAACCACAGGTTCTGTATCTGCTAATCAATTTGACAATTTGAATAGTAGCAGTCAAAGCAATGAATCTTCTACTATGAGTCAAATAGATAGTACCACCTCTTCACAGGGTTTGCAAACAACAGATTCAACAAGTTCAGATAAGCCGGCGAGTCCACCGCCAGCACCATACTCCCCCATGACTCGACCCCTTCCAACTTTATCACCACCCACCCCTCAGGTCCCGTATTATCCACCGGCTCAAAACCGTTATCAACCCTCCCTGCCATCTCAGCACCAGCAGCAACAACAGCAGCAACAATCTGGCCAACGTCGGTATACAGTAGCTCCAACATTGTCTGCAAATAGGAAGACAACTGAAAAATATTCGAGTGCTAATTCGCAAACTATGTTGCGGCAAAGCAAATATAAGGTGAATAGTATAATGCAATCAAGTGGTAAAGTATCCGAAGATAGCTTGGGAGGTGCAGGTGATGCTCCTCCTGCTGTTGGTAGAATGCCTATTACACCACCAGGCACACCCCAAACGCATCCAGCTCATTCTACAGGGGATCAGAATCAGTTGAGCGATACATGCCATCAGATACAAGCTCTGACCCTCTAAGAACTTTCTTTCACATCTATGTTTGCTTTCTTATTCATTTGAAATCATATGATCTGAATGTCGGCCAAAAAAATTTGCATGATACTGCATGAGTATGCATTGTTATACAATTTCTCTTGTGATCTCAGTCCTAAATCCAAAAAGTAGACATTCAAACTGTAAATTAAATTCTTCATATATAAAATAAAAACTTTATTAAATTATTAAGCGAGCGAGCGCGTGTGGATATGTGTGCATACATATTAATAAAACAAAACAATATAATACAACAAATATACATACATACATAGATACATAGATACATACATATATATATATATACATATATATATATATATATATATATATATATACATATATACGTACATACATACATACGCATATAAAAGCATTGAACACATAGATACACAGATGAAAACACAAAATTATTATTAGTATGAGACACATATACACGATATATAATATGTAAATATATACATAAATGTATTTATATGCATGCATACATGCATGTACATCTATGTATATATAACATTTAATATAATATATATATATATATATATATATTGAAGATGACAGATATAATTAGCGTTAAACTCAAAGTCAGTTATAAATTATCTTTTAAAAGAGTCAAATATTAATGATATAAACATTATATCTTAATAGATACTGATATAATTCATCATTTACATCCATATTATGCAGTATTTGACGTTATGCGTGATAGGCTCGACAAACATGAATCTCACGAGCATGGCTAGAGTAGTTAGATGGATAAGCAAAAAAAGATAGAAACAAATAATTGTTATCGTACAAAGATGAGCGATTTGTCATGTGTTCAAAAAGAAAAAACAGAGGGGTAATAGGGAGGCAAATAGAATTCATTTCACAACGGTTGCTCAAGGCACTGCCACATCTGTGTTTCTTTTTCTACCTGAAGTGGTATCGTACTTATAGTTTAATTAGAGTGACCGTGAATGTTCTCACGCCTTTTAAAATAGAGCGGACACAAATTCGTTAATTTTTTTTTTCGGTAAATTTCCGCGCAAACATCGTATATTTAGCAGTTAAAAAATATTAAAGTGAAATGCCCTGTGCCCAACGAATAAGATAAAATACTAAAAAAAATAATGAATTAAAAAAATGTGTCGGCTGTGAGCTTCCAAGCAAATAACAATAATTAAATTATTATAATATAAAAAGTTAAATAATATTCTACCTAATTGTTATGAACGTAAATTTCTTTTATCTATAATGAGAAATTTGTTATCTCATATCTCGCATATTATAGCTATTATTATCTATTTAAAAATGTGAACAGGAAATGTTACACCGAAGGTTCGTACGCTGTGATGATATAGAGATATCGCGGCACGTAGAGGAAAAGTTAAAAGACATCAGACTGTATTTAGATGACACATCAAGGCCTAGAGTATGTAGAACTTGTGAGTCGTTACAAAGAAATTAATTTATTAAAAAGCAAGAGTGCCTTCTATTTGTTTTCGTAATTGTATTGTTGAACATTTGTTGCGTTACGTTCCAAGAGCCTCTAATGTTGTTATAAGAAAAAAAAGATGTTTGAAGATTGTTGTTCCTCTATTTATTTATTGATTTATGGGCTGTAAAGTCCAACAACGCTCAGCGAATTTGGAAGTGCGAAAGTATGCTGTTAGGTTGGTATTAGAGAACATTAAAAAAATGAAAAAGAAACAAGAAAAACATACTAAAATGCAACAGCCAAATTGTAGGACCCCTGATGGTCGTACGAATGATTCTAGAAAAAGAGCAGCACATTTCGGCACCTATTTCTATGTATAATACACAGAAGATATCCCAGCAATATACATATGCATATATATATATATACAAAAAAAATATTATAACATACCGAAGGTATTTAAAATAAGTGCGACAAATGCGTATCTTAAGTGTGCGTGTGCGCGAATTTGGACAGGTGGCTGTGACTACTGTGTGCAAGTACAGATTTGTATGTAAGCATTCGTGTGCTAGTGTGTCGGTTCACACACACGCATATTTCATAAATATATATATATATATATATACATACATATTAAATATATATACATTATATATATATATATCTCTATGAAAATGGTATGTAAAGTGCAATTCTATGTTGAGTTTGGTACTGATAAGAAATAACGAAAATTATAATTTGATTATTGTTTAGGAGGATCTATGTACTAAAATTTGACGTAGAATAGTACTGATGTGAAATAAAGGATAATATATACTTCGTAAAGTATATAATAAATAAAAAGAATCTAAGCTGTATGCTAGTACAATATGTAGTAAATTACAAGAGTATAAATGTATTATATGAAACATGTGAAGTATGCATTTAGAGCTGTGGAATGCTACATATTATATCCGTGTTTAAGTTAGAGACAAGTTATTTCAAAATTGCCATGTGTTTGCATGTATATATATTTTTTGTTTCTTTTTTATTGTAAACTTACAATATTCGAAAATATTAAGTGGCCTATTACAGCAAACAATTATTTACATGAATTTTTTGTATAGCAATTTTTCCAAAGCCTAAGTTTATATTATTCGTATTTGATAAGTTAAATTTTCCAATTAGTTTTAAAACATTTGATAATCGCTTTAATTGCAAATGATTTCAAAAATTAACCGAATGTTTTGAAATTTACTGAATAAATGTTCAAGTTTTTCCAATATACATACAATATTTTCAACTTACATTTCGGTGTTACATCGTTAATGGTGCATTCCATAACTCATAAAAGTATACTCTGTGAGAAAGAAATTTATGTATTAATATAACATAAATTATACACAAAATGACATATAGGTTGTATCAAAAAATTCTGTAAGATTTAAGGACTCTATAATAATAATAATAATAATAATAATAATAATAATAATAATAATAATAATAATAATAATAATAATAATGATAATATTATTAATAATAATAATAATAATAATAATAAATATAATAATAATAATAAATATAATAATAAAATAATAATTATAATAATAAATAATAATAATAATAATAATAATAATAATAATAATAATAATAATAATAAATATTAATAATTATAATAATAAAATATATTACATATAAGAAATGCATATATTTAAAACAAAATATTAGTATATATTAATAAAGTCATCTGTGCATGAATACATAGCTGGAGAAAACTAGTAAGGACAAATAGACTCAAGTAATTGTAAATTTCTCCTGCAAATAAAGAATAATATAATCTCATCGAAAACGTAAAATATACAATGCTCTAATATAAATGGAATTTTTTTAACCGGACTTTCTTCCCACATTTATTTAATAATATATAACTAATGCATATAAGTTTTTATAATATATAGAATTTTCTTTTTTTTTCAAATATTTAAACTACTATTTTTTAAAAAAGGTAAATTGAGTAGACTATGCATTTTTATAAATAAAATGTATTTTCCTTTTTCTTTTACAATATGAAATATATGAAAATTATAAAATAATAAAATCAAATATTTGATTATTATTTCATATAAAAAATTCGAAGTAATAAGAAGCTAGTAACTTACAAATAGATCACAATGTTTAGTATATTTATGAATATCTTTTCTCTAATAATGGAACTTTTTATAAATGGCACGGCCTCTTATTTTAATGTCGAAACAAGTGCCCCATAAAAGAAGCTTTCTATAAATAGTTGATAGATAATATTCCTTTAATATTATTTATTACATATTTTTTTTCATTAATACGTTTGTTACTTGCTATTACAATAGTTATATGTAAAGTTTTAAAATCGGCAGTATGATAAGAATATTTTTATCAATATAATCTTAATATTCGTAAATAATACAAATTTATTACGTTATATATTGTTTCAGTCACAAAACGTAAAGTCACTTACGTTTGCTACTATCAACGTGACTGTGTGTATATGTATGTGGTGTGTATATATATATACACATATATATTTGTTATGGAATAAGTAAGTTCTAAATTTAATTCTGGTTTCTTTAAACAATAGATAGAAATGTTACTTAAAAATGTTTGAATTATTAATCAAACATATGATATATGAATACGAAAATCTAATCATCAAAAAAAATTTCAGTAAAATTTATAATTCTGTAGTCATATGAGATGTTAATGCTTGTACGCGGCTTGCATTACAACTTTTACATAACACATGATCATCTAAAGGATAACAGCCACGACCTTCTGAATCAGAAGATAATACTAAACCACAATCTTCACATTTGTAACATTGAATATGAAAACTACGATCCAGAGCAACAACGCGTACCGTTTCATCTTGGCCAGGTTCCGGCATAATGGGTAATTTACACACACAACAACGAGGTGCAAATTTTCTGTAAAAATTTCGATATCTTTAGCAACATTGTAACAAAATAAAAAGAAAAGATTTATTTATACTTATAATTAACTTACTTGTGGAAACATTGAATACAATGTATCTGATTTGTAGCATCTACTGTAAAAGGTATACCATCCAAACTTTGTCCACAAACTACACATGTGAAGCAAGATGGATGATAAGGTTTCCCAGTAGCTCTTAATATTCTATCAAGTATTGGCCTAGTACATACGCAACACTTTTCCAAAGTGTTTAAGTAATCTTCTTCGCAATACGGTTTACCTTCCAATGAATAGAAAGGTTTACCCTGTAGGTTGACTTTACAGACATAACAACAAAAACAATTTATGTGAAAGACTTTATCCATTGCAGAACAACCTGTACCCTCTCCTTCGACTTTACATCCACACTGTGCACAAATACCATATATATCACTTTCTTCGCTATTATCTGACATTCCTTGAACCAACAAATCAGTTAAAACATCAACCTATAAACATACATTAATTGTTCACTTAAAAGCAATGTCAAGTATATGTAATTGTGTAAAAAAACCCTATTAGTTTCTAAACTTACCTCTTTCACAGGAGACACTTTTCCTTGTGGTTGAGTTGAAGTAGCAGATCCATATCCAGAATACATTGAATAATTACAAGATAGTTGAGATGGCGGTCTAGGATTAATAGGTTCGTATATAGACTCATATGTTGAGCTAGATTGAGAACTTGGACCATAAATGTCATTTGGATAATTTCCAGCAGGAAAATCAGTTTGATAAGTTGCACGTCTCAATTCGCTATAACTGGAAGAAACAGGACTAGGTGGTGGTGGCAATTCTTCAGGGGGTGGAGGGAATGAATTTCCTGGAATGCAAGCAACATATTCTGAAGGCTCAGGAGGTGGCGGTAAATCATCTGAAAAAACACATTATTTTACAATTGCATACTTTCCATTAAAAACTAAATACATATTATTAATTTTACCACTGGTATGAGTAGATGGAAGATTACTGTAAGTATTCTCTGATTTTGGGTTCCATTGTATATTACTGTAAATGATATCTTTCTCTGTTTTTTTTGGTGCAGGAACAGAAACAGGTGCTGGAGATTCAACATTACTATATACCGCACTATTTGTAGCTCTATCATTACGATCTTCCACTGGCACTTGAGGAGCTGGTAAATTTCCAACATTTGAATAATAATTTTTCTCATCATATCCATATTTAGGTTCAAACTTTTCCTTTGTTTGATGTACATAGAAATTTTCATTGTTTTGATACAATTTCACAGTCTCTTTTCCATTAGTCAATGTGGGTATGTTAAAATCATTCTTTTCCATATTCATTGATACATATGGAGAAGGTGAATTCATGTATAAGTTTGTAGATTTTTCATTTGTTCCAGCATTATTGAGTACAGTGCTATATGATGGCGTCGGTGCTGCCTTTATTGAATAACTTTGTGGTATCTATCAAAAAGCATTAAGGGCAATTTGTAAAAAAATAATATTGATTATAAATATGTAAATGTAGCATCATAGATTATGACATTTTACCATTGGTTGTCCCAAGTCAAGACGGCGTATAAATAATCATATATTAATATCATATCATTTCCTATGATAAAAAAAAATATTATACTGACCTGAGGTTGACATTTTTTTGGTTTTGGTGGTACAGCAGGGCCAACTTTCTTTCCAGATTTAACCATTTTGATTGTATTATCGCCATGATTGATTTGCAAGTTTGCAATATGTTGCTCTAAATTATTAACATTAGACATTTTTCTGTAATAGTAGAATAAAATAAACAAACATTATAAATATATATTGCGAAAAGAAATATGCTGGTGAAAAAATAAAATCTCTTAATATTATATATTCAAATTAATAATTTTTATAATACATATATATATATACATATATATATATATATATATATATATATATATATATATATATATACACGGAATGCACAAAAATTTGATCTTTCTATAAGACTGTTTGGCTAGTAAAAATGTATTCAAATAATTAGGAAAATATTATACTTATTAGTATAATTAATAATTGTCTCTAGTATAAGTTTTTACATTATTACAAAAAAGCAGTTGATCTTTTAAATATGAGACATCAAATTTTTAGAGGTACTCGATTTGAAAAGCGTAATATTTCGACTCGTATGGTACTAAATTTGTTATCAGAGAAAATTATCTTTAATACTACTTTAGATTTATCTGCTAAAAGTATATTCCAAGTGGGATCATACCACCATGGAGCTTGTACCACTGAAGAAAAATGTCAACTTACCCGGTGAGTCAAAAATGTATATTTAAAAAAGAATTTAGACCAATGTTAACACTATGTTGGAAAATATTCTATCGTTTGTAAAATTCGTCGTTGCACTATGATCACTTTTATCGAACGGCTGATTCACACTTCCTTATCTTGTAACCTCAGAAATTCCTTTCCAATGATTCTTATATTACCCAAAATTCAAAACTCGTGTGGCTCTGCTTGTACCACACCCAAGGCCGATTGTGCTGTTAGCCGCCTGTGTACTAGAGATATTTGGCCGCCTCTTTTAATGCGGATCGGATCGCAAGTAGCTTCATTTTAAACTTCCAATCTTTTTTTTTTTTACGTTTTATGTACTTTTATTGTTTTAATTTTTTTTTTGTGGATCTATTGACATATTTCTATGAGAATTCCATATAATTGACAAGATTAAATGAAATTTCATACAAACATTTGATATATTTATTTTAATTTTATTTGTTAAAATATCCCCATCCTAGGGATTTGACCATTTGCGTGCATGCATGCACGCACTGCGCACCCCTGTATACGTCGTTAAAAAGTTCCCTCGTGGATATCGAGAAAGAACTTCATTAAAAGAACATTAGACTCATCGAGAAATTGACTGTTACTTAAAATTAGAGATATCTGACAAATTTCGATAGGTCAAAAATATTCGACTCATTTATTTTCTCTTTCATCTCCATGGGACATAGATTTTCTTTTGTATTCTTTTATATCGCAGATATGAGGAACGTGCGAGGATCAATATCTCAAACAATATTGTGAAACTAGAAACGTTGATTGAATGTGGGATAAAGAAAGATTACGTATATAGTTTTGATATGCGATAGGGAAAAAAATCGAATGGAAAAAAAATCGAGACATTGATTTTCTTTCGAGTACTACGGACTTTCGTGAATTATGAAAGATATCAAATATAATTTATGACAAAGATAGATAACTTCAACGTCGCAGGTCATATTTTCTTCACAATCAATCAATTTGTTTCCATATTATTTATGTAAATTCACTAGCTACCTCATCAACCGAGTACATAGCTATAAATAGACAGAAACAAAAGCTAAGCAGGCATGGCAACGTCAAATAAAGGAAAATTTTTCTCTAATTTTACCAGAACAGGCAAATTAGGATTGCGGAATGGATATGATCTATTAGTCGCCACCGCTTGCTCATCTCTGATCTACAATGAACTCATTAATTCATTGTTTAATAAAATCTGATTCAATGAAACTGGAACGTTCATTTACATTGTTTATTTCTGCAGTTCGTTCTTTTTCTTCAAACAATCGGAAAAATTATATCTGAATAATTTTTTTTTTTTTTTTTTTAAAATTTTATTAACTTGATTAAACATACACAGACCTGCGAATTGAATTATTGATATATAAATTACTTTCTGACAGTACAGTGTACCGACAAGTTGGTAATATAAGACATGTATTGATAATAAAACATCGATAAAACATTTTGTAATAAGTAAAAACAATACCTATCGAGGGTAATATAATATATACGAAAATATTAGTTTTATAGAAAAAAATAAACATTATTATTTTTTTGTTTTTCATTTTGATTAAATAATTGTATAAGTAGAAATTTATAATGGATTACGATGTCAGGCAATCAAATTATTACGATATTAATAAATTGGATCTTGTTTTGAACTCTACCATACTAAGCAAAATGCATTTATGGTTGGAAACTGTTAAACAGGGTTCTACTATTATCGACAATTATCTACTCAAATGATAAAACAGCATTTTACTACAATTGTATTTTTTACTCGGTAAGTTAAATTAATGGTCTATTACAAAATATACTTTAGCTTTGCTATGGCCTCTTGAACGAAAGGCAGAAAGAATTTGATTAATGAGACAGTGAGGAGAGAGAGGGTGGGGAGAGTATGACGCAAAATAACAGTAATGTCACTTTGGTATGATGAAATGCAACAACGTAGTTATTTTAAGCTACAAGTCGAATGCATTATAATTAAGTTATCAATTTTTTTTAACTTTATATTTATATTAGAATATTACAGTATTCATTGTTTTCACCTGAATATTATTTCGAACTTCTCATTTCGAAAAATCTCATGTTCTTAAAATCTTATCACGATCTTTTCATGCTCGTTATCATAATAATTGACACCATTATAGATTTAATGTGAATCATGGTCACATTTGATATAGGTCGATAAAGATTTCAGACTTTTAAAATAATATTTATTTATTTATTGCATCTATATAGTAACTTTCTTATAGTTTAAATTTAAAACCTTTCGTCCTTCGTGAAGATCGAGTTATGGTAGTAATAATCTATCACGTAAATGCTTAAGATAAAATTTTGTATTTTTATCGGCAATGTATCTATGCTGCGAGGCACGTTTTATATCGATCAGATTAGATATAACATTAATGAATTGAAATAATAAAGTATACAAGTATATCATATATTTTTATCTCTCTGAAGTGGATGTAAAAATATTTCAGTGAAAGAAATATACAGAAGTAATATCAACAAGCGATAAATTATTAATGAAAAGATATGGTTCTTATTTTTTCTTCAATATCTAATAAACAAAACTTTGTATTTATATAAATTCTACCCATTATTACACCGTAATTATAAAAATATAGAATTATTAAATAAAAATATTAAAAATCGTCATGTAGAGCATTTTATATAATAGTACTGTATAAAGAAATTCATAAAATGTTTTATATTTTTAATCGATATTTTATCAAACATCTTCCGAAGCTATATTCGAAGTAATATTCATAAATTTTATGATGATTATAAATCATTTTTATGATTTTTAAGCATTACCGAAATAATATTAAATTTTATAATAAACAAATCTTAATATATTAATTAATGATCATTATAGATATCGAATAACATGAGACTTATCAATAGATTATGTGTCATACGTAAGGAACATAAGTATTAGATTTTATAGCACATTTAAATATCTATAATGATAAGAGTATTGACTGATAAATATTATATCTTGTCTCTGCTTTGTCTCCTTATTATAAAGAATAGCTACAAGAAGCACTTAAATAATTAAAAATTAATTATAACTTAACTATATAAAAAGCTTATCTTATGATATCTTACGATACCTTAACATATTATATAGAGATAAGTATATTTATCTGTTCAAACATATTATAATCTATAATTTATCAACAAATTATAAATGATATATTTCGCGACAATTATAAATAGAATTCAACGTCATAATCGATTCTTTTATAATTAAAAAATTACAAATATCTTTTTTAACTTATTGTTAAATAATATAAAAGCACGTATATGAGGCTGTAAAATAGGAAGCGTAGGAGGAAAGCAATCATTCACCGTCGGGAATTCCCGACATATGTCTCATGTGTCTATTATCTCATTATGTATATATACTTCATGTAAGAAAACTACCTACGAGTAGGTTTCTTTTTACATTACTTTTCATTCTCATATGTATAGATTATACGTGCAGATCGGTGAAGAATATTTTAAAGGTGATACGTTAAATAGCTGAAAAAAAAAAGAAAGAAAAATATATTCCTAATTCAGTAGTTTTTTTTTTACATTTAATTCTACTATTTATTTTTATTACTTAATTAAATAATATTAATTGTCGTCCATAATCGATAGTTTCTTAAATTACCAAGGATGAACAGTAAGTAATATCATATTTTTTTGTGGTTTTATTGAAATTCAATAAGGATCTTTTGCGTTTGTTTTTTTATTCTGACAACGTAACAATCTAATATGTCTACATATATATGTACCATGACAGCAGCCTATTCGCTTCTATTGTAATCGTCGCATTATGCACAATTTGTTTCTAACTCTCCATTGTTCCATAATTTTTCTCAAAGTTCTCTTTAAATTTACATCATTAATATCTCTTCCGAAAAGAATCGAGTAAGTAGATTAAATTATATAAAAGATATTTCGTTTATTAATATGTATTCTCTTTGTGCATATATTGACATAATGTTTTTCTGGGTTATTCCGTGATCATATTCGTGATAATACTTCTTAATAAATAACATTAGTCAGATGATCATTTACGCAAACGGGACAATCCCGCCATATCATTTTAGGAAACAATAAAATTAATTTCGTAATATTATTCCCTCAATATTTTTAAATTATTTTTGCTAATAATTTTGTTCAATATTTCATTTGTGTGAAATAAAATAGCATAATATTTATTGTGTATAATAACGAAAACATTTGAAAGATATTTGCAAAGATTTTGTTAAAATTTCCTTTTTGTGAAAATATCCTTTCATAAGTTTATTATTAGATACAAAATATCAAATTTTTAAATAAGATTATAAATGAAATTGTATTTGATCAAAGATTATTTGTTAAAATAGAAAAATAACGTAGTATATTTCGCAAATGGTAAATCTTATTTCATGTATTATTATTATAAAAAATATTTAATCTCTGCGAATCTCAGAATCAATTCTTGAAAATAGAATTGTTTACGAAATTTTTATCTCTTTTTGAAAGAGCGCGCGCTCTTTCACTGCGTATGAACAATGACCAAGGGTTAGTTCTAATCGGAACATCGTTGAGTTCGGTTGTAGATTACACTTTTTCTTCAGTTATATATACTTTTTATTAAGTTCCTTTCAATATTTTTAATTTTATTTTCTTTTCATTTTTCTTTGTCTTAATATTAATATGATTATTTGATCGAAATTATGATCTTCGATATTTTTTACTTCTGAATTTTACAAGATCTATTTTTCTTTATGAATACGAATTCTTTTTTAACAATCGAAAAGATACAAGTGACTAATTTCTTTCTCACTTTGTTCGTTTTCGTTCATCATAATCATATAGGATAATAAAAGAGAAACGTCGTAAGTATTTCTACGCGTTCATCTACCTATATATGTTTATTTACTTTATGTAAACAAAATTTTTCTTTTCAATGTCTATATATCATTATTTTTATCACACCTGTGTGTTAAAAAATCATTAAATAAAATTTTAGATATTTCGGAAAAATATACCATGGAAAATAAACAGAGGCATAATAATGATGAGACAACTACTGTACCCCAACAATCTACGGGGAGTGTACGAAATAATGTTAAAGTCACAGAAAATACATCTTTATCGCCAAATAATAATCAAACCTATTTCGCTGATGAAAGAGTACAAATTCCTGAAATAGATGGTGTATGTATATGTATTTATTGGTTTTTTTTTAAACACATTTGTTACTTTAACTTTCTTATTTAATTGCATATGTGATATAAAATATATTGTAATTATATATTTTAGAAATTAAAGATATTTTTTTTTACAGACTGGTTTTAACTTCAGAAAATTATGGGCTTTTACAGGCCCTGGATTTTTA